CATTGAATTTGTTCTCTAGGGCTGTACGATTAATTGCATTTTCGATATCGAGATATGAAAAAAAGCGATTTTTCAACCGCAGAGGCTGCGATTACACTCGGTCATGTGACACACGAGAGTAAAGAGGTGTGTTCGACTTGAAGATCGATCGGTGTATGACATCAAAGTATGGCGAGAGAAAGCATAAGGAGACGTCAGCTCTCTTATAGCTCTCGCAGTACTTGACACACACCCATCGGTCTAAGCAGCGCTGCTTCAAGTCGAGCACATCTAAGCACGGCAAACTAAACTGAAAGCATAACGAAACTGCGCTACTCGTTTGAGCTGCGCAGCTCTTCGAGTGTATAGCATGGTTTATACTCGCCGCGTCAGCAGGAGCGCTAAGGTGCGCACAGCAAAAATGATGCGCATATTGAGGAAACGTTGGATGGTTTTCAAGCTAAAGTAAAGTAAAAGACCGCTTCTTTAACCAAAGGTGAACATGTTGGTATTCTTATGGGGAGAAAAACATGCAAGCACTGTCACCGACAGCAAGTTTAGTTTTACTTTTCTTTTTGTTTTCATTTGCGTTATCTTTGCTGTTTACCTCACATTATGTTATGGAGGCTCTCTTTTATTTATTTATTTATTTGATTAATCAGTGTTTGCTAAAAGTTCTGTAATTTATTAGTCTGTATATAATACACCATGTGGTGTGTGCCATGCCTCATCTTATTAGTTTTTGTTAATAAACGTTTTGTAAGCTAGTTTGTCATTGTATCTTACTGTTTTATTGTTGTTGTGCTTTTTAATTATGAATAACAATGAATCCATCTCTTGTTTAGTCTTAAAAAGTGAAAGGTATAGACAATTCTTTTTTTTGTGAAATGTGACAAGATCACAAATTCAAAAGTGAAAGCATCCGAAGCCCGCGGCTTAACACAGCAAAAGAGAAACTCCCATTCACAAAATCCAAATCACAAATAATACTACTAATGAAAAAGAACAGGTTGAATGTTAACCTCTTTCGTTTCCATATAACTATAAACTATGGTAAAAGTTAATCAGCATGCATTGATTAATCCCATGTTGTAGCAAAAAAAAAAAAAATTCCAATAGCGACCAAATCATGTGCTCATACGACCAGCTGAGAAAGTTAGTCGCAAAAGAGCGACCAGTGGGAAGAATGAGTCTGGAGACCTGAAATTACTCAAGCAGTAACAGTGTTATGGTGCATTTCATTACTGAAGACTTCAACCTTAAGATAATATATATAATAAGGTAATATATATATTCTTATTTATTTATTTAAAGTCTGTCTAAAGTTAACAATGTTTAAAAAGTGCAGTCCACAGAGATGGGCTACGGATCAATTTGGCCTGGTGCAGACTTTGAAGCCTTCCGCTACACTAATCAATGAAAAACTGCCTGCTCGTTAATGCATTCAAAGATGGATGGAAAACAAATGGCTACCTCTGGCATCATCCCTCATCGGCCCTCCTGTGGCCTCTGCCAACACACGCACGCACGCACGCACACACGCACAACGCACAGTCCTCCACAGACTGATTGTAGTGTTTGCTGTTGTTTCTCTGTGTGTCATGTAGTGTTTTTAGAGTCGCCTCAACCACATTTGCTTCATATTTTCATTTACAAGTACTATAGCTTGTTTGTTGTTTATTTACCATCTTGCTTGATGACATGAGGTCTCAAGAGCTTTCTTTTTTTTCTCTCTCTCTCATAGCAGACACATTGAGCCTTCTTATATTATTGTACCCTGAAGATTCAACACTCCAGAGTGTTCAATATAATTCTAATTTTTGTATTAGTTTTTGTATGTGTGCATAAATGCAGTATGTGTGTGTGTGTATACTGTTGTGCTCATAATTATTCATACCCTTGGTAAATATGATCAAAGAAGACTGTGAAAATTAATCTGTATTATCAATCCTTTACATATTTTATTTTAAAAATGTACTAAAATCTAACCTTTCATTGGAGAATAAGAATTTAAAATGGGAGAGAAATCTCATTTAGGGCTGTGACGGTGGCAGATTTTTACCACCGCGGTGGTAATTGACCAACTACCGCTGGTGGCGTGGTGTTGATATATATATATATATCAACACGGCGCGACACGACATGACACAGAATACAGAATACTATAGAACTCATTATAATCAGTGATGCTACACTGGATGCTACACGACATGACAAATCCCCAACAGTAAACTGCCTCATTCTATTTATGAGGTACTGACACAGAGTTCAAATATCCTGTGTACCCAACCTGTTGCGACGCGGCGGTGTCGCGTCCGGTGTAGACACGATTCACTGTTCAGCCGCCAAGCAAGTGGGCGCATTAACTCCTCATCTGAACGCACTCTCTTTGAAATAGGAATCATTGCCACATTTCTTGTTAACATCTACCATTTATCGCCGTCTCGTTTGTATTTGGCCAGTTTGGAGAAGGCCTCACCAAACCTGACCAGCCAGGCGTTTGCGATCACAGGAACTTGACACTTGTACAAACGCGGATGGGTGACCTGAATGGAGATGGCTCCAGATCGGCGATGTATTATTTGGTTTCCCAACAAGGTCCATCGCCCAACACAAAATTAATTTGCTGAATGCAGAATAAACTGTATTTTCCTGCGCTCAAACCTGCCAATCTAAAGGAAATGCTGTGTATGGCGTTTGAGGTAATTTGTGAATTACCATAGACTTACAGTCTAAATAAAACAATTGAGCAACTGACCACGGCGGTGACGCGTTTGTGACGGCGACCGTCACAGCCCTAATCTCATTATGAAATAAATGTTTTTCTCTAATACACATTGGTCACAATTAATCATACCCTTTTATCCAATACTTTTTGCAACCTCCTTTTGCCAAGAGAACAGCTCTGAGTCTTCACCTATAATGCCTGAGGAGTTTAGAGAAGATCTGACAGGAGATCAGAGACCATTACTTCATACAGAATCTCGCCATACCCTTCAGATTTCCAGCTGCATGTTGATGCTTCTCCTCTTCAGTTCACCAAACTCATTTTCTATAGGGTTCAGCTCAGGGAACTGGGTTGGCCAGGGCAGAAGCTTGGTTTTGTTCTCAGTGACCCATTTTTGTTTTGATTTTGATGTTTGTTTGTGGATCATTGTCCAGTTGGAAGATCCAACCATGGCCCATTATAAGATTTCTAGCATGGACAGTCAGTATTAAATTTTTTATCCATTGGTATTTTATAGAATCCGTTATGCCATCTATCTGAACAAAATATCCAGGATCTCCGGCAGAAAAATAGGCCCACAACATTAAAGAACCAGCAGTATATTTCATTGTACACATGGGGTACTTTTTTTTTTTTTACCCCTGTGTGCGCCAAACCCATCTTGAGTGTTTGCTGCTAAAAAGCAAATTTTTTTTTGTTTAATCTGAAAAGTTCCAGTCATGTTTAGCAAATAAATATGCTGGCGTTTGTTTTTGGATGAGAGGGGTTTCTTTTCTAGTTTTTTTTTTTAAACCCTCCCAAACATTTTTTTTAAGGTTTTCTGACCCCAAGACTCAAATATTTTCTGCAGTTCTCCAGCTGTGATCCTTGGAGTCTTTGGCCACTCAAACTCTCCTCCTCACCGTGCATTAGGACGATATAGACACACATCCTCTTACTGTATTTGAGAAAATATTTATTTCATAATGTGAAATTCCCCCACTTTCACTTTTTTTTTACTTTAATTAAAGGTTTGATTTTTTTTTTTTACATCTTTGAATGAAAGATCAAGTGGATAAACAATGCGGATTTATTTTCTCAGCCTTCTTTGATCATATTTACCAAGGGTGTAAATAATTTTGAGCACAACTGTGTGTGTGGTATATACTGTTCCAAAGTTTGAGGTCAGTAAGATAATAATAATACTTTTATTCAGCAATGACAAAATTGATAGTAGAGACTGTTACATTGTTTCAAAAAATATATTTTTCAAATGAATACCATTCTTTTAAACTTTTGAATAAATCAGCATGTTAGAAGGATTTCTGAAGGATCATGTGACTTTGAAATGTTCCCAAGTCCAGAAATGTAGCAACGTCACACGGATACGCTGTTTCCGTTCAGATCAAATCACAACAACGTAGGAAACAGATCCGGCGTGACGCAGCTGACACAGAACATTAGGAATACGCTGTTTACGTCCAGCGGATATTCTCCAAAATGGCACCAGGGTGATGCAGAGGAGACGAATTGTTGAATAAAGTCATTTTTTTTTCTTTTGCGCACAAAAAGTATTCTCCTAGCTTCGTATAATTGCGGATGAACCACTTATGTCACATGGATTATTTTACAGATCTCCCTGCTACATTTCTGGACTTGGGAACATTTCAGTTGCGTTGCTGTCTATGCAGCTAGACAGACAGCTCTCAGAATCCATCAAAAATATCTTAATTTGTGTTCCAAAGATGAACGAAGGTCTTACGGGTTTGAAACGACATGAGGGTGAGTAATTAATGACAGAATTTTTGGGTGAACTGTCCCTTTAACAAAGAAAACAGTTTTGATCAAATAAATGCAGCTTTTGTTAGAGACTTATTTAAAAAATATTGTATATGTGTATATATATATATATATAGCAACCAATCAGTAATGATACTCATTTAAGTTTCCATAAAGTTACATAAAACTTTGCTTTCGTTTTGAGATGGACATCACTGAAACGTGTGTCACATTGATTTGATTCAGTGAGTTGATTCAGGAACAGATGTTGCTACTGTCAGACTGGTTCATCATTAACTTCCAAAAATTCACGAGTCTTCTTCGATGATTCATTAAAAAAGACCGCTTCTGCCTACATTCACTATACTGAGACAGACAAGTACTTGCATTGAGTGCCTGCTCAAGTCATTCATTTGCTTTATGCTTTCTTATGAGTAGAAAGGGTTAGCAAAATTAAAATATTCCCTCATCTATTATCTAATCCCACAGCAGTGACCTCTGACCTTGAACCACCACCCTCTGCTTTGTCCCAAAGGAGCAGAGCCCCAGTAACCAGACATCATTGGCTATGATGCAGGAGCCCCAGGAGGTTATGGAGGAGACTGTAACCATAGAGGAAGACCCCGGCACACCCACCTCTCATGTTTCTGTGGTTACCTCAGAGGATGGGACTACACGCCGTACAGAGACTAAGGTATTGCTGCTTACATCTGCCACATTTTCAAATGTCTTGTTTGTGCGTATTATGACATTATTAGATATGTAAATGCACACAAGTGCTCATTCATGCTCACATCATCTTGTGATGCTCTTTGCTGAGGTACTATAAAGAGACTCTTAGGAGATGAGCTGTTTTATATTTACCTAAAGACTATATTCATTATTATATTAATATATTAATGCATTGTGTGAAATGTAGTATTATATCAAGAAGAAATAATAGGTCGTCTTGTTGACATTTTTATATGGGAAAAAAATCTGTATTTGTATCAGTGATTCACATCACTGTTATTTTAGTTTTGTTAATATGCTATTATAGTGTTTATTAATATTTTGAGGTAGCTTATGTTTGTATTTTTTCATTTAACTTTTTAATTTGAAAGTTTTATGCATTGTGTTGTGTAATTGTGTCTTCTTTCTTTATTTTTCTATTTTGATTTCATTTATTTTTATTTCGGGTTTAGTTTTAGTAATTTTATTTCTATTACTTCAACTTCACACTTATTTTATTTCAGTTAATTGGCAAGGCAACATTTCTAATTTAAGTTTTTGTCAGTTGAAGTTTTCAAAAATTGTATTTTTGTTTAATTTTAGCTTTATTTCAATTAACAATTTTTTTTAGCTGTCTTATTTAAAAATAACAACACTGGTATAAACCTTTTGTCTCGATTAGTGGGAGGTGTTTTGATGTGGTTTACAGTAGTCAGAGGGTTCTAGAACAAGCGGGTGTTTAATTTCACCCAATCAGCTCTTTAGTGATCAGAGAAAGGGATTAACATGACAGACTAGTGCTTCGTTACCAGTAAGACAGCTCAGCTGTTTTGAACCTGAGAGAATTTACAAAAACACATGATGACAAAACGACTAGGCTAGAAAGTTGAAGGCTTTCAAGATATAAAAATATTCTAAAGAGAAATGTTCTCAGTAATAGTAAATAACTGTTTAGATCTATCCATTTATGTTGTAGTTTTCTAAGCCACACAGTCTTGATTTGCCTTTGCTTTTGTTTTGTTGTTTATAAAAGGACAATGTGACTAATATGAAGGTGAGTTAAAATCTCTCCCTCACATACGCTTTCTCACACACGCCTCTTGTCAGTCACCATTATTTGTGCCCATTGAAGCTCAACAATGCACAGCATCTCAGCACTGGTGTGAAATCACTGCATAAAGCTTCATTTGGCAGAGCGGTCACCTCTTAACGCCCTTTACTGCTACAGTCCTGTTTGTGAGTTTACATACCCCTTGCAGATTCTGCTAAATGTTTATCATTTGTAAAAAAAAAAAATTATATTTGAGGGATTATACAAATTGCATAAAAAATACTGCCATAATGATGCTATAGTTATGCCAAGCTGAATAAGCAAAGTTAGAAACATGAGCAGATGGCTGTTTTGCCATATTGCTAGGTGAAGTATGTCGAAATGTAAACATGCCAGTTACAGACTGTTGTGGCGTTTTTTTGTTCAGAAAGGAATGCTGACAGCTTCTCGTTGCTGTGGGAACATTGAAACTAAATGTTGCTTTGAGTGAACACAGAACGTTTGTTTGGAATACATGTGGTTCTAAACAGTTATGTTCTTTGATTGCAGAGTTGAAGGCACATTATAAACATTGCATTTGAATTGCATTGTTGAATTTGAATTGAGGAAAAACATACTGTGGCTAGTGACTCAATGTTAAGATCCAGTTTGCCACTAGAAACAACTGAGGTACTCATACATCATATTAAGAATATTATGTAAACTCTTTGTGTCATTTTAGTCCTTTTTTGTCTTTTGTAACATACTTAAAGCTTAAAGTATTTAAAGCTAACATGAAATTCACAGTTTTCTAAATGCATCTTATTGTGTTGTGAATGATTTATCCAATCATGTATTTATTTATTTTGAGCACATAATTCTTAATCAAAATGTCCCAATTTGACCTAAGTTTGCATTTAAATTTACATCCATCTAATCAATAACTGATGGATAAAACCAAGTCCTCACTCAATTTGTTCAGACAATTACGATAATTCATTTCACCGATGTATGTCACAATATGGAAGAAAAGATCTGTCAATACTTCGATTTCATCACATCTTTAAGTATCTGTTGTGCTGCTTCTGAGGCAGTACAAATCCAAAAAAAGATCTCTCTTTTTTTTTTTAAACAAATTACACATTCTGCAAAGGACATGTAAACTTATGTGAAAGGAATTATGTAAAGTGTACAATTCATATCAGTGCACACACAAAAACAAACAGCTTTATGCATGCACAAGCGTTAACCAATGTGCACATAGAAAGAGCTCTGTTCTACAGTGTAATGCAACTGACAGTTGAGGCATAGTGGGAGGAAGTGAAGGGTAAGGTATGATCTTACTGCTGCACTGTTTCTTACCATTAGACCACTCACACATTGACAAACCTATGAAACACACCTAAGGAATAACATCACAGAGCGTGACGTGCATGTGTGCGCACATGTGTGGGTCCTTCTGTCACATGTTAGTGTTTGGACTGATATTGGGGTTGTGGAGACAAGCTTATAGCCGCATAAATACATCAACTCCAACCACAGAGCTCTGGGTGTGTAGGATAAAATCTATGCGTTCTGTTACACTCTGGATGTATTTGAAACCAAAGTAAGTACCTTTATATTCACAATCAGCATCAATGTACTTTCTAAAGAAAATGGCACCATAACATTATATCTAATGATCTTGATCAGATTCAGGTGAGCGGCAGAGATAAGCAAGGAAATATTATGGCTACACTGCTTATTTATTAATATAAATAGAATGATATGTAAAATATAAAAAAATGGATATTGATGAATTAATTTACTTCATTCAGTCACTTCATCAGAAGCCATTTTTAATTTTTTTACACCAGCATTTGGACTGCATGCACAGGATTGTGGGATGTTGTAGGCAGCATAGACGTATCCCATAATCCTGTGCATGCAGAACAAAAAACTTTACAGATCTTCTTTATGCACCAAGAGCTTGTAACACTCCAAAGAGAAAGGACAAATTGAAATCGCATCATATGACCCCTTTAAAGTTGTCCAAATGAAGTTCTTAGCAGTGCATATTACTAATCAAAAATTAAGTTTTGATATATTTACAGTAGGAAATTTACAAAATATCTTCATGGAACAAGATCTTTACTTAATATCCTAATGATTTTTGGCATAAAAGAAAAATCAATCATTTTGACCCATATAATGGTTTTTTAGATATTGCTACAAATATACCCCAGCGACTTAAGACTGGTTTTGTGGTCCAGGTTCACATATAAAAAATATTTATAAATATGTAAATAAATATATCATTATTACTGAATTTATTATTGAAATATTAATATTTTGATGACTTTTTTTATTTGGAAAAATGTGCAGCAGCGATCTATTCACAATAAGACCAAGAGCATTTGTTTAGTTTTTTTTTCAAGCAAATTTTAATATCATGCCGAAGAAATTGCATCATAGACGCACATGTCTGTAGAGCTCATGTGACTTATGAAAGCCCTGTTGATGAACTGATGATTTCTCTTCAAAAACTCCTGCATTCTAGAGGCCGATTAAGCACAACCATCTACCTAGTGTATCATCTTAAACAGTATAATAAGAACCCATACTGTTCAGAAATCAGTGGTGAAACATGATTTCTGCATCTCACATTGGTGTCTGCTTTAACATATTGACTTAATGTGTGGGTGTTAAGGGTTGTTCACACTGACAGTGACTTGTAGAAACGGAGCAACTTAGTCATTTATTTGAGTTGCCGGTTTGAGACGGCATGAGCAACAGAGACAATTGGAGATGCAACAGAGAAGCAACACTGGCAACAACCAGTAGGAGTGCAGACAGTTCGCCTTACAGCTGCGCATGTAATTCACCTCATGAATACAGTTGGATATTGCAATCGAGTGTAAATGCCTACTTGCAAACAACCGTAAAGCAGTTTGTCGACCTCCCCCAGTTAAATTGCCATCAGTGAGATCGCTGCTTTGATCTTAATGATGTTTGTTAAAATTACAGTAACTGCAGTTCCCCCAAAAAACTGTGTACTCCAATGGTTAAACCCATACTGGAGTCTGTAAAGGTGAACACGCTATGACTGTAGTTACTGATCTTTTCCCCCTTTAGACATAGACACATCCCTTGAGATATTACGCACTGACAACTGGCCATGTGGCTTGTAAGGGTTCACACACAAATTCAGGCAGTCATGGTTCATCTGCAATGACGATTAATTTTTATCAAGCTCATTAATTTCCAAGATGAATTTACAGGCATGGACAAAATAGCCAATTAATTGCTTTGCAGAATTCACTGAGCAGCAAATTGGTTTCTGTATCAGCACTGAAACTTCAGGAGCAGCAGCACTCCATCCTCTTGACAGGCAGACGTTTTGTAGAATAAGGGACTGGATTAGCACTCGGAGGGGAATAGTGATTTATTTAAGTTGAGTCATAAAGATGTCAGTGCTCTGTGATAGACACAGGGAACTAGAACATCACTCAGATCCATGTAGTCTGGTAGCAGTTCTTATGTTGATCGATTTAGCTGTTGTCATGTGCACTGTTCTCTCTTAGTATGTGGTAATGGTTTACTTTAAGGTTCCTCAACAGAGAGTGTTGAAGTTAGTCCTTCATTTAGTAAAGAAGTTTATCAAGTCAAATCAATGGCTGTCATGTGTGCCACAATAGAGCAGCAGCAGTTCTTGTTGACAATGAAATGTGACCCCATCAGTCAAGAAAGTTTAGATAGAAATGATCTATTTAAGAATAATAGTAAATGTTAAAATAAGAACTAATGTTCGAAATGGCAAACTATTTTATTTAGGTTTGTAAACAAATATCAGCTGTGAAATCATTTTCAGATTTTTCTTGAATATTTTTCTTTAATCAGATTGGCAAAAGTTAATGTTTTTACACAAACCAGTAATAAAATGAAATATAACACTGACATACTTCTAAAATCTCCTAAATTTTGTAATTATTATTATTATTTAATCTGATTTCTATTGTGAAATATATACACTACCGTTCAGAAGTTTGGGGTCAGTAAGATTCTTTCAAGATTTTGAAAGTAGTCTCTTATGCTCACCAAGGCTACATTTATTTGATAAATACTGAAAAAAGAACAATAATATTCTGAAATATTATTACGATTTAATATAACTTTTATATTTTAATATATTTATTTATTTGAAGGCAAAGTTGAATTTTTAGTAGCCATTACTCCAGTCTTTAGTGCCATGAGATCCTTCAGAAATGTTTCTAACATGCTGATTTAGTGCTCAAGAAGCATTTCTTATTATTATCAGTGTTGAAAACAGTTGTGCTACTCAATATTGGAAACCATGATACTTTTTTTTCAGGATATATTGATGGATGGAAAGTTTAAAAGAACAGAATTTATTTATAAAGGATTTTTTTTAAACAAAAGCTTTTACTGTCAGAAAGTTTTGATGAATTTAATGTATCCTTGCTGAATAAAAATTATTTCTTTCAAAAAAAATCTTATTAATCACTAATGTTTGAATGGAAATGTCAAAAAAAAATCCAAGATGATAACTGGACAGCTTTTAATGTTGACAAGTCTTGTAACAAAAACGTGGCATGTGAAATGTTTTCTATAGCTAAATATAACATTAGTCATTCAGTTTAAGTGGTAAAGTAAGTTTGTTGCTGTTAGGGAAACTTAACCGTTTGCAAAGTTTTTGATGAGAAACTTTTGTATCAATTAGTGCTGGGCGGTATGACCAAAAATTTGTATCACGGTATCTTTCACAATTATACCGGTTTCACGGTACATGACGGTATTTTTTTTTCATGCATGACCGGGTGTTAACCATATTTTCTACTGATTGAGAGAGGAAATACTGCAGTATATTGACTTAGAATGCCCTATTTTACTGTCATGATGAGTGAATATTGTCAAAAAATACCACACTAAATAGTGACTAAACACGACCCCTTTTAATACATGTTAACCAGCTAAATCTAGTGCTAAAGTCGCGCTCGTGTGTGTGAGACGCGGGAGCTGGCAGGGGGCGGTGGATATTTGTGGCGGTCAATGTGGATATTGTGGATGAGATCTTCTGTGTCATCACGTAGTTCTACAGCTCCAGTTTCGGAACTTTCACGGTTAGTAACACACACAGCTGTTTCCTCACGACAGTGCAACAGTGAAAAGGGATCCCTTTCAAACAGTGTCACGTCCCGAACCGTGTTTAAACGACATACACCGGTATTGCTGTGTTTTAAAAATTCATATCATAACAAAAATAAACACCGGTATTCAGTATGAACCGGTATACCTCCCAGCACTAGTATCAACTACAACCAAGAACCCACAACCCTTATATTTTCAGTTCCAGCTGTTTCATTACTAATGAACACAAAGCCTTTTAAAAGACTGGAAAAGATTTTCAGTCATTTCACTGCTACTCAGCCAGCTCACAGTGTGACATCCACTTCCTTGCTGATATTAGACCGCAAAGTCAGTGTGCTGCATTTCACTCCTAAATGCCTTTGGTTGTTTTGGCTGCTATGATTTGAGCAATCTGACATAATGGCTGCATTTTGAATGGCCCTCATATCACGTATTAGCCATGCAAAAGGCATCTAAGACAGGAAATGACTCACTCTAGTAATGCATAAAAATCACAAACTTGCATTTCAATTATTATGACTTGAAATTTTGCTAACTCTGTTGGTTTTTCCATCATCCTAGGTCACTAAGATGGTCAAGACAGTGACAACACGGACAGTTCGACAGATGCCACTGGGTCCCGATGGCCTTCCTCTTCCAGAGGGCTCGTCTCCACTGGGAAGCTACACTGACTCCATTGACCGGCGCTACATGAAGAATGGCGAGCGCTTCATTACACCCCAGGCCACTTCCACCCTCACACGCTCATACAACAATTACAGCGACTCCTACAGTGATGCTCCAGACAGTCAGTTTCGCCATTACGCCCTTCACGATGGATACGGAGACATGCCCAACAACTATGGAAGTCTGTCTCGTGGAGTCAATTACAGGCCCTATCAACCCTACATGCCCACTGGTGGATACCGGGCGGAGAACAGCTACACTCTCCCCATCCGCAAGGACGACTATGGCCATGTGGCCCAGCCTCAAGTCCCAATGGGAAGTAGCACTGTGGATCTCAATCGCTCTCAGCCTGAGCGCTTCCAACCCGAACCCTACGGCCTGGAAGATGACCGCCGCAGTCTAGGCCCAGATGACGAAGAGCCGTATGACCTAGAGCCTGATTATTCCACAGCTAACCGCCGCACACTACCCGGACGTACCATTCGAGAGCCATTGCGCAACGGCCCCCGCGTGAGGTAGGAATCGTGCAGTTGATTTTGTTTATTTGCTTGAGCTGCTGTGGGTTTTGTCGATGGTTGTGAGCAGCTTTGATGTGATTGCCTATTGAAGGGATTCAAATGCTCCAGCTCTTGAGAAGCACATAGATGCAGGTTCTTCTTTCATATAATGGAAGGTTATTGCTCCGCATAACTGGCTTTCAATGTCCAACAAGAGCACTGGTAAATTATTAACTATTACATAAACTATAATATTATAGCTGTAACTATAATTACTGATTAATTTTATTAATTTATTATTAATACATTTATTATTCTGTATGATACCAATAATGCCATGAAAATGTGGAATTAGACAAAATTATAATTTTTATTCCTTATTGGTACAGTCTGATACTGGATGAAATACATAACTATTTATTATGTTATATTTATATTTTATATATATACACACACACACGCACTTACACACTGAAAAAAATTACTTTGTAGTGTTGTAAAATATATTAAATTAACCATTATAAGTTCTACTTGTAATATTAAATTTTAAGAACAACAACAAATTTCTAAGTAAAATGTGCACATTTAATTCATGTAATTAATGAACTGCGTGGGAAGAGTAACTATTCTATATCTACTTGTAATATTTACATGTTTTATAGTCATTGCACATAAATCTAGAAATATTGAGTAGCTTGAATTTTAATCTAAAAGTATAGCTTGCTTAAATCCGCCAATGCGTGTTTGGACAAGACGCGCTTTGAATCAGAGAGGGACGGTTGGGCTTGTCATGGAAGGTGATGCATGGCTGGATTTTCTCATGTTTAAGGTAAGTTTGCCTTTCTGTTTTAGATTTCTGATTTGTAATACATTGCTCTGTGTGCATTTCGATAGTTTGATTCTTGTTTATACATCAACGTTCATCTTACTCACATAACCTCATTAAAGTTAACTTGCATGCGGTCACAGTGAGTGATATTTCAATGAAAATGTTTTCAATAGTTTAGAGATTCACAAAGTAAAAACTTTAGCACGATTGGAAATTACTGGAAATTATTAAACGTTGTAACTGCCAGCTAGCTAACGTTACTAAAATAAAGCATTTGCGAAGTGTAGCATAAGGTTAGTTTCTGTTATTTCAAACACTCGACTGACGCAATAGAGTGAGTTTAGAGCCACAACATTGTAGAAATCCCATAAATTGTCGTGTTTTGTCGCTATGCTAAGCTAACATACTACCTAACCCTAAAGTACCTGTTGCCACCAGTGATTGTTTTATAGGACTAATGTTGAAAAGTGTGAATAGAAAGTGGTTAGTAAAAGTGTTTTATGCTTCTTTATGATGGTATTTAACTTGTAATTTGTTGGTTAAAAAGCAAAGACTTATGAACACACTGCAGAACAAGCCAGAGTGTAAGTTGAGGACTATATAGAAGGAGTGATTGGTCTAATTCTCATATTCAGGCTAGGCTTGTCATAGCACTTACATATTATTGCTCTTTTGTTGGATTGATTGCTTTTATTGTCCTCAATTGTAAGTTGCTTTGGATAAATCATCTGCTAAATGACTAAATGTAAATGTAAGTATAAATCTATGCATATTGTAGGTTGCATGATATAACATTATTGTTGTTATTTTTACCTGTCCTTTGCTGCATAATATAACATTGTGGTTAAATGTTTTAGATCATTGTTTTAATATCACAAATTGTGTCTGTTCATTTACAGGGTGACCTAACTTCAATACACACTTAAGGTGTGGGGAGGAAGACAGACTGATGGTTTTCATGTTGGATGCAGTTTTGGCTATATCAATACTACCTAGCTCTGTCAGGTTAAAACCTCATCTTGTTCTGTTTAAGTAATTTTTTTTCTATATTTTATACCTCCTGGGGTCGAAACTGTGTATGGTGGAGCAAATGCAGTTTATGTTGATAATGGAGATTGAATTGTATTACAGAACAGCAGACACTTGAAGTAGCATTCAGTCATACTTTACTTTTTATTCATTTTATTCACTATTTTTTATTCACTTTGATTCACTTTTTTATGTTGGAAAAATAAACTATTTAATTCTATTTTAGTTGTGTGATTTGTGATAAAGGTATACAGTCATGGTCAAAAGTTTGGGCAGTGACAAATTTTGTGTTTTGCAAAGTTGCTGCTTCAGTATTTGTAGATTATTTTTTCCACATGTTTCTATGGTATACAGAAAAACAATGATAAGCATATCATAAGTTTTAAAGGCTTTTATTGGCAAAAAAAATATAATGAGTAAATATTTACAGTGTTGACCCTTGTTTTTCATAACCTCTGCAATTTGCTCTGGCATGCTGGATATTAGCTTCTGGGCCAAATCCTGACTGATGGCGATCCATTCTTGCCTTATTAGTTCTCGGAGTTGATCACAATTTGTGGGCTTCTTCTTGTCCACTCGCCTTCTGAGGACTGACCACAGGTTCTCTATGGGATTTAGATCCGGGGAGTTGCCTGGCCACGGATCCTAAATTTCAATGTAATGATCTTCGAGCCACTTCTTTTATCACTCTTGCTTTGTGACATGGTGCTCCATCATGCTGGAAAATGCACAGATCATCACCAAATTGCTCATGGATTGTTGGAAGAAGTCGCTCTTGCAGGATGTTATGATACCATTCTTTATTCATGGCAGTGTTTTTGGGCAGAATTATAAGAGAACCGACTCCCTTGGTTGAAAAGCAACCCCACACATGGTTGGTCTCAGGATGCTTCACTGTTGGCACGTCACAGGACTCATGGTAGCGTTCACATTTTCTTCTCCGAACAATCAATTTTCCCAGATGTCCCAAACAGTCAGAAGGGAGCTTCATCAGAGAAAATAACTTTTCACCAGTCTTCTGCTGTTCAATCCTTGTACTTCCTGCATTATTTCAGTCTGTCCTTGACGTTTTTCTTGGAGAGAAGTGGCTTCTTTGCTGCCCTTCTTGACACCAGGCCGTTGTCCAAAAGTCTTGGCCTCACTGTGCGTGTAGATGCTCTCACACCAACCTGCTGCCATTCCTGAGCAAGCTCTGCACTGGTGCTGACACGATTCTGTAGCTGACTCCTCAGGAGGAGACGGTCCTGGCGCTTGCTGGACACTCTGGGTCATCCTGAAGACTTCTTCACTGCAGTCGAATCTCTCTCTTTGAAGTTCTTGATGATCTGGTAAATGGTTCTTTCAGGCACAATATTCTTTGTAGCAATTTCCTTGCATGTGAAGCCATTTTGATGCAAAGCGATGATGGCTGCACGTGTTTCTTTGGAGGTAACCATTGCTAACAAGAACACGATGACTTGAAGCGCTTCTTCTCTCCTTTTATAGCAATCAGTCTGCTCTTACAGTCTATTTAGTATGATAGTGATTAACCTGACTAGTACTCATTCACACTTTCACATGTGCTGCTGATATGATTAGTCAATTGATGTTAGCTGGTCATTTTGTGTCAGTATCAAAAAACAGTGACATGTGTTTTGTTTGCTTTTTGTGAAAAGTTCATTTTTTGGCCAATGAAGCTTTTAGCAATTATTTAAAATGCATCTGATCACTCTACACAATAATCTAGAAACAATGTGAATGAACACCACAACAGCTTAAGCAGCAAACTTTGCAAAACAGAAAATTTATGTCACTGCCAAAACTTTTGGCCATGACTGTAGACCAGAGGTTCTCAACGCTGGTGCTTGAGGCGCTTAGCTTGTTCAGGTGTTTGATTAGGGTTAGACCTAAACGCTACATGAAAGTTGGAACCCCTGGTATAGACAAAATTAATATAGTTTATGTGGTTATATTGATCAAAAAGAAATTAGCGATGTTTACATAATCATAGGGAGTAATATATATTCATAAAACAAAGTAAATGGAAATCTCGAACAAAAAATATATAACGAAATCTACTTATTTACTTCAGTAAACAGTGTAATGACTGTATCATTTATTTATTCATTATTAATTTGGAATTATAGGGAATTAATGATTATTACCACATTCAGGTTTTGCTAGGACTTCGGATCTGAATGTCCCAAGTCCACCTGATCAAACAGATTTACTTAATATTTTGATAAATGCAAGGTAAATGCAAGGCATTATAAAAATAAAGTAAAATAATAAATAAACTTTACTTAATTTAATTAAACAAAACTTCCTAACTAAATATAATTAAGCAATTAGATTTGATTTCTTCATGAATATTAATTTCAGTAGTAAGTAGATTTTACTTGATAATAGCAAGTACTTGATATTAGAACATTAAAATGTACTTAATGTGTTGGTGCAAATTGTTCCGAGGATTTTTTCAAGTTATTTTTTTCAGTGCATATGTGTGTGTAATTTAGTAAATGTGTAATAACATATTATTGTTGTGTCTGATACTGAAAAATGGCATGAATGGCACGAGACAAAATTAATTTATATCCCTAACAGTCTAATATTGGTACAGTCTGATATTGGATGGATGGATGTTGAAACTAGAGATCGCACACTTTTCTTGATTGTTTTGCTAACATGTGTTTGTGCTATAGAGTTAAGTGAGGTCTCAGTTTTTTTGCTTTCACACCCAAAGACAATTGAAAACAATTTTCCTCCTTAAAATAGACAAATTTTCGGTTGTTCTGACCGCAGCTTGCTCTTTGCAGAGTAGGGATGTAACGACCAACCGCGAGCCGGTTGAAAATCGATTTAAATATGTGACGATTCAAATCGGTTGAGATGCTAAACAAATCGCAATTCAATTAGGGGTAGGAGTTTATATGAATGTATGTCTGAGGGGAACTTACTGTCTTTCGATGGTATTTTTTATTTTCCTCTTGCCTCTGTATAATGCATATTAAAGTTCATAAGTGCAGCGCTGCTTTGTTTACAGCGGAAACCAAGTAAACTCTTTAAGCGCCACCTGCTGGCAGAGAGTGAATCTGCGTCTCATTCTGCTCTATTGTTTCTGTTTCATGCAGATATTTTTTATGAATAGTTTCACAAAACTGAAGTCAAACCATTCTGTTTT